ATTGGGACCATTAACTTCATATCATTGAAGACCAGAAGTGGATTAGAAGGGAACTCATTGCGCATGGAGAGATCCTACACAATCTTCACATCGAATCTCAAGACCGACCAGGCCCTCATCTTAGTTTCGGATTTGGTCTCTATTCTTCTTTTATTAAGTTTTTGCTATGATGATTTCAGCTTTAGTCTTTAGGATGTAGTTTACCAAAGCCCACAGTCGTAGGTAGTTGAGTCAAGGCTTAGTTTAGTTAGTTGTCATTTTATTTTTAAGACATGTAATCGAAACCCATTTTGGCCATCGATATATTATGATTTCATTAGAATTATTTATGTGTTTAATTCATTAATTACCTGAATTCTGTTCATATGACTTGATCAATATTGGATTAGGGAATATTTGATTGGAGCTTAAATTTGTACGTATTTAAGCCAATTATAGAACTTTTGTCTATAATTTAGTATCACAAGTTATACTCCCAATTGAAAAATTAAGTGCACATCTAACTATAATAGTATTAGAGGTTTAAAAATAATACTTTCACTTTGAAACTTGATACACATAATAGAGATAATATATATGCCATATATTACTTTTTGAGCTAATCTTTCTTGGAGTGATATTAACATTTATTCAATAAAGATAATTTCATTCAGCGAATTCCATTGAATAATCTCATTATTTTTGTTTTGTTCAATGTTGGTTTGTTAAATGATTACTTATATAAATGAGTTATTTATACTTTTAGTGTGTTGCCAATAGCTCTTGAGATGTAATTTTAGGCTGTTGTTGCTTTAATTTGAGCCTTAACCTTATTCTTTTCATATTAGATTCATCCTTAGAAGCCGTGATTCAGCCTCTTTTTGAATAAATGTTGATTCTTAAAGTCATATATTGTAATCAAGCCAGAAAGATGAAATATTTTATCCTAACTTGGCTATCCTGGGATTGACTTAACAGCATATCATAAGGGAGTGAGTGTGGCTTTTGAAAAAAAAAATGATAAAAAGATGTGAAGTTCTCATGCTTATGCAATCAAAAGAAAATATCTATGCACTATCATGTTGAGTTTGCAGGAAAAAAACATTGTTGTTATATAAAAAAAAACAGCATGTATAGAAAGAAAAGAAATGATGAAGTATGAGATTGTGCTGAAAAAGTGTGCTTCTAGTTGATGAAAAAAAAATGAACAATAAGGTTTGGAAAAGTAATGTTCTCTTGGGATAGCGTTTTAAATTCTTGAATATCCGTCGTTTCAAAAACCCTAGTCCCAAGGCCCCATTATAACCATAGAAAATACTTATTTAATCTCGAGTAATTTGGTTGATGTATGACATGTGTGAATAAGGAGGAGGCGGTTATTTTACAACCTATGTTATTGATTTTCTTTCATAAGATTATGCGAAGTTTCTTCTTTGAAATAATGATTATTTGATATGAATGCACGTGAGTTACTTATTGCTTTGATTTTTACTAATTCTACTCACATGCGGTACTATAAGTGTGAATAGTCACTATAATCAGAGTGGATTTTTTGCTTGAGTGTATATCTTGGTGAGGATTGCATTAAAGCTAGCCGTTGATAATTAGAGGGGTGAGGTATTGTTGACTAAATTTTTATTGTGCATAGTTATTTCACGTCACACACGAGTTTCAATGGGATCCAATATGTGAATACTATTGTTTAGCTTTTAGTTCTATAATGTGGCTTGGTATAGACTTATTTTGTGTTACAATTAAATATTGTCATGATTTAAGTTTGGTTAAAGTTATATATCTAATTCAAGTTACTAATAAGTTAAATGAAGTTTGTAGGTATCTTCACTAAAACTTTCACAAGACTATAACTCGTCTATTAGGGATAACCTAAGGGTTTAAAGACCTGTTGCATATGTTAAATACAATCGTGAGTCTAACGAAAGTGGATTTGTGTTTTATATTAGGGTTTTTTGTTTAGTCTCTAAGTTTTAAGGACCTATGTATTACTAGAGACTTGTAATACTCTGGTTGAGGAGTATCATTAACCATCAAAAGTAACAATTTATTATATTTAATGATGAGTTAATTACATAGTATTTGAGCTTATGTGTATATTATTGGATTTTCTATTTTTATTCTTGTTTTGGTGCTCTGTTTTATTTTGCAGATAAGTTGATGGAATTAGGAGCATTGTTGGACAAGTGAAGTTTTGGAGCAATATGGATGCATGGATCTGTCCTAACCCAGAGGAGCACGTAGAACAAGACAAACCCGTCAAGTGCAAGATAAATAGCGCCATCTGGACACAAGTCTGCCATCCGGACACAATCATGAGGAACTGAATAAGTCTGACTATGCGGCTTCAAGTACCCCGGTCACAACTATTCCATCCAGATGCACATGCTCAAGTCTAAAATTACAGAGAGTTGTAGATGTTCAATACGCCATTTTTTCGTTAGGATGCAAGCCAACGACACAAGAATACAATCTAGACATGGGTATCCATAATTTTCCAGAGACTTGTAACTAGCAGGACGCGGCCAAGCCATCCAGACGCACCGATTAGGTGGGTAGTTAACCTAAAAAAGGGTTCCTTTTTGAACGAGAACTTCTCTTAGACTTATGTCAAGGCTAGTACTATGAATAATACCTCCCACATCTGAAGAAGAATCTCTTCCTTAGCTTCTGTTCTTTTATTTTTCAGATTTTTAGGATCTACAATGTCTTGTGAGTAGATTCTCTTGTACTCTTTAGCTTAGAGTATGAATTTGTGATTATTTACCCAGATATTTATGTTATGAAATTTCAATCTTTCCGGTAAAGTTTTATCCACTGTATAATTGCTTGATTATTCATTAACATGATTGATTTCTTGGTATGAATAATGCTTATAATTCCCTGCCAATTTGACAAAAATAATTCTTCAAATTTTACTTTCTATCAATCAAATTTATTGTTTTCAAAGTTATATTTTTCGGCTGATTACACTGACGTCGGAAATCAACTGAGTTAATAATAAATTGCGTAGTAATAATTATCCGGTAAACATGAACAAATTCATATCCCGATGCCAAAGAGTTGTCTTTTTCAATTGATATTTCCTTTTAATTAATCTGCAATTTTTCTCAAAACTCAATTCAACTTTCGTTTTAAATGTTATTTGTTCTTCATTTACCTTCTTTATAAATTTTTTTGGATCTCTATGGTTCGACCTTGTACTTTACCGAGAATTACTATTTCTTGATCGCCAGCACGTGGGTGTACCTTTTGGGAATCATGCAGATATCAAGGGCTATAACATATCGCTAATAATCAAAATATTAGAAAAACAGCGATACTTAAACATATAGCTAATAATCAAAATATTAGAAAGGTATACCCTGTTTAAGCTATGCTACATTCAATAGTTACAGTGCTGTTCAAAAAACAAAAATTGTTGCAGTGAGGTACATTACGGTTTTTAGCAAAAGAGCAAGAATGAGAGGAGAGGAATCATCACAATTATGCATGTACATATCTACAAATATAGCTACTTATGCCACACACACACATGTATGTGTATATGTGTGTGTGTGTATATATATATATATATATGCCACCATATCGATACTTGTCTGTATCCATGCCTCACAGGAAAGAACCCTCTTTTAACAGACATTGATCCGATAACATCCAAAACTCATATTGCTGACTTACTTTTGATTCCATAACCTCTCCATATGTACGTAGCTCTTTCACAACAGCTAGCAAATGAGAATGAAGCTCAGTCTTCAGACTAGGGAGAACTGTCCTAATATGCTGCTCCAAAATCTGAAACAGCAGACATACAACAAAAACTCATGAAACAAAGTACATGACAAATAGAACCAAATGCTTAATTAGGCAAGAACTACAGTTCCTTTTTTCTCTTTTTGTTCGCTCGCTCCAATTTTCAAAGTTCCACATTATGATACACAAATTGCAATGTAACCATTATGAAACCGTGTCCTTACTTTTAATTTAATTTGAAAAGTTTTCTGCTTAAACAGATTAAAAGTGCAAGATATACTGTGAAGTAAAGCCATCAACAAAAAAGGATAAGTTCCATCTATAACATCCAATATAATGTAGGAGCATGCAAAAGTGCATTGATAAACTATGCTGATGCACTAATCATGTCATATTTGAAGTAACCCCATCTTCATGTTGTTATATTTGTTTCAGTTCACTATTATAGATTTTTTCCAATAAGTAAAATCTTTAAAACCACTCCACATACAAACCAGGTGGACTCGGCTCCAGTACATCATCTCCTCAATTTTCTCAATGGAGCAATAAATGTGCAGCACATCGTACATGTGTTTCCAACAGCAAAGGTTGCATACATAATCTACATCAAACTAAGAGCGTGGTACAGTAACAGTGAGGACAACGGAGATCTAGGAGGGAATATTCCAGCAACTTTAACTTGTTTGTATAAGTGCCATTACAGGAAACATTTTCACCATCATCTCAGTGCGGTTCTGGTTGTTCATTTATACCATATTGAGGATACAGAATTTAAAACAAAATTCACAAGTTACAGATTACATTCTCTCTCTCTCTCTCTCTCTCTCTCTCTCTCTCTCTCTCTCTCTCTCTCTCTCTCTCACACACACACACACACACGGGGATACGGGAAATAGGTAGACATTCACTATGAGTAGTAAATAATTTATTTCTCCTGAAAAGAAATAATTCTCTTAAGACAATTATGAAATTGAAAATTGAACGAAAAACTTTCTCGGTCGAGTTCTTGATAATTAGTGGATTCAGATTACCGATTGGAACAGATTCGGTTCATTTTCCAGTGTGTTTAATCAAGCACGTAGCCATTGATGATGTTGTGTATTGGAAACAGAAAGAAGAGTTCCTTAAAAAGTACAGAGATGCAGGTTTTTTTGTGTGGGTGGAAATGGAGTCAAGTAGATATGTTATCTTTTTGAGGGTTACCAAGTTGATGAATAATGGAAGAAGGATGGGATTAATTATACCTAAAGGCTCTGATGAAAGGGGGTGGATTGAGTTTGGAAGCTTATTGGAGTTTTCAATGGAGAAGGGTAGAACAAGAGAAGGTGAGACAAACAAGGTATGAAGCTTGAAGAATGGCAACGAAGGTGGGAAGAAACAACAGCAGCATTCTTTGCATGCTTTGGGTGATGAGGCTATGATTCGTGAAGAAGATAAATGGAAGAAAGCAGTAGTGTGTTGTAGCAGAGCTTGTTTCACCTGTGGAATGTGATTAGCAGAGAAGTGACAACAACCTTGCAGTTTGAAGTTGAATTAAATCCGTTCCAAAACTGAAAAAGCAATATTTTTCTGTGAATCCTTCTCAAATGCCAAGGAGATATGTAAAAATGAGACTTGTACCCTTCAGAATTCTGTGAGCGTGAAATTGCAGAAATGGAGACCAAAATCCAATTCGTTTAGAAGCAAAGTCTCATTCTTGGGGTGGATGGATTGCACTAGAAGGTCTTCCATTTCACCGATGGCATATGGAAGTGTTCAACAAGATTGGGGATTGTTGTGGAGGTTTTGTCGAGGTTGACCACAACACGATGAATCAACGAAATCTATTTCAGGCAAGAGCTCGTGTCAATCATCCATTTAATGGGTTTCTGAAAACCTTATTGGATATTAGTCACAAGCAGAAAACCTATTCTATAAAGATTAGGACTTTTTGAGGATGGATAGATACAAAATGGGGAGTGGAATAGGTTTGCTAGAGGCTATGAAACACGGACACTCTCAAGAAGGTAACGTATCCGTGTCGGACACCGACACTCTCAGACACGTGTCTAACCCTCTTTTATTCTCGTCTATAAATAAATTATAAAATTCAGGCACGTATCCATCACTTCGTTGGTGACGTGTCTGATACTTCTATAGACCGTGTCTACTACTAAACAATAAACATGTGGTTAATAAAGCTTACAAGTTTGACAACTAAATATCTTATACTATAAAAGAATATATAATTACCAAGACTAGACATGTTAAAGTTATATTCAAAATATAATAATAAAAACAAAAGATACATAAAAGATTTAGAAAAGAGCAATTGAGAAAATGAGAGCAATGAACAATCATTTAAATTATATATGTTTGGTACATGTCTACCAAAAAAATTGATGGTTATTGACTATTACAATGTTAGTTTTAAAATTCACACTAGATGTCTAGATATAACATTTACTTATCATAAAGAATAACATATCATTATCACTATATTGCGATAATTATATAATTCTATACATAAAACACAATTATCTATTGCGTGTTCCCAACGTGTTCTTGTTCTATTTTTTTTCAAATGTCGTGTCTGCGTCAGGTCGTATATGTGTCACGTGTCCATACTTCTTAAGCTAGAGGTGGAAGTACGAAGTTTTCATACTGCGAGCACGAGATTGAAGATAAAGGAATGGGGTTTTTTTTTTTTTTTGGGTGGGGGGGAGAAACACACCTAATCACATTGTTAAAAAATAAGAGCCAGTTACTCTGCCCCTTAAAGAGGCAGTTAAAATCCATAATTCTCTACAGTCCCAAGATTATGGGAATAATGGAAGGGATGTGAATTTTAGCAATGGCTTTAATTTGGGTAAGGAAGCAATTAAAGGATTTAAAGATGTACAATTGGATGATAGAAATGGGATTAAATTGTTGGGCTAGAAGCCAGCTGTTTATAAAAATAAGGCCCAATATCTAGAGAAAGAGAAGTCCACTCGAAAAAGGCCTCTTGTTGAGCCTTATGTAAATGGGCTTGGTCTGGAACTTGGTAATGAGGTTATTGGGCAGAAAAGTGGGGTTTTGAACCCAAAATTGAAACAATTTTTTAAAAGAATGGATTTTACCCAAACCCTAAATCAGAAGTTCGGTTTGACTTATAAAGGATAGAATTTGTCACCAGATGCTAGGGGAAACCGAAGAGCCACTGAACAACCAAACGAGAAGAAGAATAAGCTTTCTTGGGATCACAGGAGATGTTACGAAGGAGCTAGGAAGGTAAATCAAATAGTTGTGTTGAAGAAAGAAGATGATGGATTAAGCCCACTAAGACATTGGTGGTTTACATGTGGGAGTGGAAGGTATGCGTGATGACTTCAATTTTGAAGATGTTCATTCAGATGAGGGGGACATAGGCGTATGACGGGGGAGTTGGATGAAGGATTGTTTGATATCAATGAAGTTGCTGGGAATGCTTCAGGGAGTACTGGCAGGTAAAGGAGTTCGATGGAGGCCTCTGATCGAAGTGAGTATGGGGCAGAGCCAAGCTTTGAGGAGTTATGTTGTTTTATGGGAAGGTTATTTCAAAGTGAAGAAATGAAAAGCAATGGCGAACCAGAAAAGGCAATTGTGATTCCAAAAGAAAAGAGGTCTATGATTCTGGGGCGTCTTCGACGTAAGTAATGATCCAGATTTTGTACCTTACGCAAATGTTTACACTTTTGATGAGCACAATAAGTCCTTTGTGTCTTTAATGGTGGACGACTGTGGGGGAGTCTTTACTCTTGCTTGTTCAGGTCATCTTGGGTTATCTGGGATGGGCAAAGGGATGCAGGCTGGGGAGAAGGGCGAGGTAGGTCAAACTAATGGTCAGGAATTGGCAGGGGTGGGTAATGTTTTTTCTGGTTTTGAGTCGGGGTTAGGGATGGAAATGGTGGGTGGGATGTTTGGGCCTGGGGGGAGAAGTTGGTTATCAATGGGAACTGGGGGTCTATGGGAATCGAAAAACAACAAAGTTCAAGTCTGTTAGTGAACTAGGAGTTGAGTCTTTGTGAGCCAAATTGGTTTAAAAATAATGAAGATGCTACAGTTAATTTTGCTTCAGGAAATCCCAAGGTTGTTACTGCAAGGCATATTATGTTCTATGAGGAAGAAGGGAATGAAGAGTTAGGTAGGAAGGAAGAAAGTAGCGGAGTAGTGATGTGGAGAATAGATGTTTTGTGTCAGATGAAGAAAAATAGGAAATTCTTAAAACCTTCCATAGAAAGATGGATTAATCTTTAGTTCCAACAAAAAAGTATGAGCAAGGGGAATAGAAGAAGTGCAAAAAATAGGAAAGGTAGCAGGGAAATGAGAAAATTACTATTTGGTATAAACTATGATTATACGAAAGGTGATGAGGGTGCCCTGGTTCCATATGAAGGTAGTTCATTGAAATGTTTAGGATTTAGGATCTATTAAAAAAAGGAGCTTTAGAAAAGAGTTTATCTTGAAAGTGGGTCCAGATATTGTCATTTTGCAAAAATCTAAGATGGAGGTTGTTGATAGGAAAATTATTAAGAGCATGTGGAGGTCTAGGTATAGGAATTGGGTTTTCTTACAATAGTGGAGAGGTCAGGAGTTATTGTCATTATGTGGGATGAAAGGTCAGTTTTAGTGGAGGAAACAATAGAAGGTAAATTTAGTTTGTCAATTAAAGTTAAACATAAGGATGGACTTGAGTGGTGGTTAACCGGGGTGTACGGGCCTAATAAGTCTAGGTTGAGAATGGCTTTGTGAGAAGAGTTTGCAAAGTTGTTTGGAATGTGTAGCTCAAAATGGTGTATTGGAAGGGATTTTAATGTAATTAGGTATTCTTGGCAAAGACTTATTGGAGGTAGAGTCACAAAAAGTATGAGAGATTTTGATGCCTTTATTAGGGAAACTGAGCTTCATGTCCACCGTTAGCTAATGATGACTTTACTCGGTCTAATTTTAGGGACGTTGTAGTGTGTGAAAGACGATAAAATTTTGTTCACAGTGGGTTGGGGAGGAGTATTTTTCGGATATAGACAAGAGGTTTTGTGTGGTTTGAGTCCCTTTACATTTGAGAATACGTGACTTGAGCATCGTACTTTTAGGGAAAAGTTTAAGGATTGGTGGGAAGAGGGATGTTTCAATGGTTGGGAGAGATATAAGTTCATGAAAAAACTAGATTTAATCAAGAAAAATCAAGGTGTGAAATAAGGAGGTTTTGGTTGAATACTAGTGTTAGTAAGAGTTGTATTTTAGAAAGGAATGTAGATATTCATAAGATTAAGGCGAGAGGGGGTAAAACAGAGATAAGATCTTAGAAATAAGTTTGTAAAGGTTGTCTTTAGGGAGGAAATTAATTGGAGGCACACATCAAGGGTAAAGTGGGTAAAGGAAGGGGACAATAATTTTAAGTTCTTTCATAAAATAACAAATAGAAATAAAGAAGGAAGTTATAAATAAATTGGAAGTAAAGGGTGAAGTCCTTGTAAAGGAATAGGATCAAATTGAGCAAAAGGTTCTGACTTGCGAGTTTTTTTTCTAATCTATAATTCGACATCTGAAGGTTGTAGGTCTAGAATGGTGCCCCATTGAGGAGACGATATGAAGGTGGATTGTGAAACCTTTTGAGGAGGAAGCAATGTTATTTTTGAGTGTAGTCGAGAGAAAGCACCTAGATCGGATGGTTTTACTATAGCTATTTTTTAGGAGTATTGGGAGGTTGTGACACTTGATTTAATAAAAGTGCTTTTAGAATTTTTCAAAGTGATGTGGTTAATGATTTAAATAACTCCATTTTTATTTGTGTCATCTCGAAGAAGGAGAATTCTATTACGATCTAGGATTTCACGCAGATTAGTCTTGTCAAGAGCCTTCACAAGATTATTGCAAAAATTTTGTCAATTCAGTTGAAGGAGAGTTTAAGTGATACTATCTAAGGGTTTCAAGGGGCAATTGTTAAGGGAAGACAAAACATGAATGTAGCTCGGTGGCTAATGAGGTGGTTGAAGACTATAGAATTAGAGGAAAGGAAGGAATTGTCTTCAAGATTGATTTGAAAACTCTTATGATCATATGGATTGGCGTTTCTTTGATTTTGGAGAAGAGAGGGTATGGGCAAAGATGGAGAAAATGGATTACTGGGTGTTTAAAGTCTGAATTTTTCAGTAATTCTAAATGGAAAACCAAGGAAAAGGTTTAAGGCATCTATGGGACTAAGACAAGGGCAAAACGATGTTATATGCTGGAAGGTTTTATTGTTGGTAAGGATAGGGTGTCAATGTAAATTTTACAATTTGCAGATGATATCATTTCTTTTCCACGGGAGCTGGAGAGGAATTTTTGAATCTTAAAAAGATTGTGGATGTCTTTGGAGTGGTGTCAGAACTTCAAGTGAATATGGAGAAGAGTGCATTGTAGGAATTAATGTTAGTTAAGAGAAAATTTCTCGTCTGGCTGGGACTTTGGAATGTTCTATGGGAGAGTGACCACCAAGTATTTAGGCTTCTTTTAGGTGGTAATTCTTTATCTATGGGGCTTTGGGACCAAGTAGTTGATGAGATAGGTAAGAGAACGGATGGATGGAAGAAATCCTTTATTTCTAGAGGGGGTAGAGATACATTAGTTTAGTCGATTTTGGCTAGTATTCAAATCTATTTTTTGTCCCTATCAAAATGTCGAGAGTGGTTATAAGAAAGATTGAAGGAATGACGAGATATATTTATAGGGGGGTGGTGGAAAAAGTAGAAAAGATCAACTGATTAAGTGGAATGTAGTATCGAGGCCTAGAGTTAAAGGTGCACTTGTTGTGGCTAATTTGAAGGCTACAATATAGCTCTGGTTGGGAAATGGCTTTGGAGATCTCCACTAGAGCAAAATTTATTGTGGCATTTGGTTATTAGAAGCAAGTACGCGTTATAAGCCAATGAATATCCTGCTAAGGGGTTGAAAGAGGTAATTTCCAAAACCAATGGAAATTCATTTCTCAAGGACTACCTTTTTTTCCTCAATGGGTTAAATTTGTAGTGGGCAATGGGAAAAGGGTGATGTTTTGGGAGGACTCATGGATTGGGGATTTATCTTTAGCTTGTTCATTTCATCGGCTTTATAGTGTTTCATGTTATCACCATGTGGGTATAGCTTCAATGATTAGGTCTTATTCTTTCCAGGTGTCCTAGGATTTTGGTTTTCATAGGAGTCTCAATGATACGAAATCATTAAAATTGGTTTCACTTCTGTAATGTAACCCTTAATAAAGAGTCATTAGATAGAAGTTGGGTCATTGATTCAATAGGCTTGTTTTCATGCAAATCTTATTTTGATTCTTTGATTGATAATATGACTCCCAAATTTTAATCCACCATTGAAGATTTGAAAAGCTAAGGTGTCTTTGAAGTGCAACTTTGTGCATGGGTGATTGCTCATGGGAAGATAAATACCACTAAGATTCGAAAAAGATGAACTTAACTTTGTATCAAGGTTTTTAAAATCGGGATCCTATCTTGGATCGATGGGTGAGGTTTTAGGATTCTATCAACTGAAAAAATACGACAAATAACATATATAGAAAATTCTCAAAAACAAGAATTAAACAAGCCTAGTAATACATATGCAAATCGAAATATTAAGACAAACAGAGAACTTAAGATATGATTAAAATTTGAAATTACAATTTGGGTATTGAAGAGAATTTAAAATCAAAGATGGACAGCTAATCTATTGGGATTTTGCAAAGGGGATAAAAGAATTGAGATATTTTGATCTTAACTTTCAGAGAAAGAAATACAGAGGAGAGAGTGGAAAGTAGAATAAAAATAAAAGATTATCTGGTTATAATCACTTGTCGAGAGAGAAGATCAAATCAAACCGTTGTTTTCAACTTTTAACAACATAGACGAATAAATAAAGAGACCTTTTTGTACACGAAACAAACTTTCTGTAGTTTTTTGAATCCATTGAAATTCAATAATAGACTCACAATTGTACAAGAAATTCACATTTGGATTGAGTCTTTACCTATTATAACAAAACATATAGATTGGATTGCTCAATAATTAAATGCACCTAACAACCAAACTCAACAACTTAGATTAGACCAACGAAGGTTGGCTTGAGTGAAAGGGGCTATGGTCGCTTAAGCAAGTGGTCTCGGTTTCGAGTCCTTGTGGATGCAGCACACCTTCTTGGGAGTGGTCCCCGGCACCCAATTGTACCTCGGAGGATTAGTCTTGGGCGAAGCCTGGGGATACCTTGGGAGACCAAAAAAAAAACAACTTAGATTAGTAAAATTGTAGTTCAGATAGGGATCCCATGAGATCCAGATCCCAATCCATTAAGATCATACGAATTTAGAATTTTAAAAGAAACTCGAATCGATTTGCTTATATCAGATCGTATGATCCTAAGATCTGGATGGGGATTTTGATAACCATGCATTGTATATGCCCAAAATGGTGTATGATGTGTAAGAATGATTGCGAGAATGCCAACCACTTATTTATTGCGTCGCCCAATTGCTTTGAAGCTATGGAATAAGTTGTTTGAGTTGGCGAGATTTCTTGGGCGGCTCCAAGTTCTATAACAACAATGTTTTGTGTGGATTACAATGGTTTTGGAAGGAGAAGTAAAGAAGTTATTCTTTGGGAATGTGCAATTTTTGCTAGTATATCGGTGATTTCATTGGAGAGAAATGCAAGAATACAAAGTACAAGATAGCTGATGTATTGTGAAACCGAATATACTTTCTAGCAACTTTTTGGGCATCAATTTCAAAGGAATTTGTAACTACACCTATTTTCGGAATTTTGGGGAGTTGGCATGCGAGTTGTGAATGATTAGTTATATTATTTTTTGTTTATTTCTTTTCTTAGTTTTAGTAGTGTTTTTTGTTGGTTTGGGTTATATTTGGACAACTTGTCCATTTTCATACTCATTATGTACTACTATCTTCCTTTTTATTAAAAATTATCCTCCATCCATGTTGTCTCCACAAAATGGAGGTCGGAGTGATGAATGGTG